CATGGATGCAAAAATTCTCAACAAGATACTAGCAAATCAAATTCAACAGCATATAAAAAGAATTATTCACCATGATCAAGTATTCGTTCCTGGACTGCAGGGGTGGTTCAATATTCGCAAATCAGTCAATGTGATACATCACATTAATAAAAGAAAAGATAGGAACCATATGATCCTGTCAATCAATGCAGAAAAAAGCATTTGACAAAATTCAGCATCCTTTTTTAATAAAACCCCTAGAGGAAGTCGGGATAGAAGGAACATACTTAAACATCACAAAAACTATATATGAAAGGCCCACAGCTAATGTCATCCTCAATGGGGGAAAACTGAGAGCTTTCCCCCTGAGATTAGGAACACGACAGGCATGTCCACTCTCACCATTGTTGTTTAACATAGTGTTGGAAGTCCTAGCCTCAGCAATCAGACAACAAAATGAAATAAAAGGCATCAAAATTGGTAAAGAAGAAGTCAAACTTTCACTTTTTGCAGATGACCTGATACTCTCTACATGGAAAATCCGAAAGACTCCACCAAAAGACTGCTAGAACTGATACATGAATTCAGCAAAGTCTCAGGATACAAAAATCTATGTACAGAAGTTGGTTGCATTTTTATACACCAATAATGAAGCAACAGAAAAAAAAAATAAACTGATCCCATTTAAAATTGCACCAAGAACCATAAAATACCTAGGAATAAACCTAACCAAGCATGTAAAATATCTGTATGCTGAAAATTATGGAAACCTTATGAAGGAAATTGAAGAAGACACAAAGAAATGGAAGAACATTCCATGTTCATGGATTGGAAGAATAAATGTTGTTAAAATGTCAATACTACCCAAAGCAATCTACACATTCAATGCAATCCCAATCAAAGTTGCACCGGCATTCTTCTCAAAGCTAGAACAAACAATCCTAAAATTTGTATGGAACCACAAAAGACCCTGAATACCCATAGTTAATACTGAAGAAGAAAACCAAAGCAGGAGGCATCACAGTCCCAAATAAAAATTATTTTTATAATTATAAGGACAAGTTATTTTTTAAGTAAAAAGAAAAGGACTATTTTGCAAAATCCAGATATTTCATCTGGTAAATGAAATGCTAATTTGCATTTGTGAAGGACTTCCTAAGTAGAGCCTCCAAACAATGTATTATAAATGGGTTTCATATGGACCAACATTTTTCTGTACAACCTCAGGGATTTAATGAGGCTAGACAGAGGTGAGCCTCCTCCTGGCACCCTGCAGTCTAGAGTCCTTTCATGGTTCATGCCAGTGTACCGTGAAGACATTTGGGAAACAATGTGCTTCATGATTCTGGAAATAATAGCCTTTATAGATGTTTAATTTGAGTCAATTTTTTAACGTTTCATTTGTGCTTTATTCATAACAAGAATAATAAGATTAATAATCCTAATAAAGCCTATCACTTATTTTTAACCTTCTGCCAGGCACTTGCCTAAGTACTTTACATCTATTATCTCACTTAATCCTCATAACACTCATGTGGAGTCTAGGTATTATTATCCTGGTTTTATAGGTGAGAAAATGGATGCTAAGATGTACACATATTTTTAGGAAACTATAATTATATAAAGCAAAGTCCAACTATATCAGATAATGGATAATTACAACAGGGGCTCTCTTCAGCATTTCTCTCCCACATGAGACAGAGAGCTTGACTGTTTTGTTCACCTAACTGTGCCTGAAAGATCGTAGGAGCTTAGATATTTGTTAGATGAACACTCACATGGTGGTTCTTTGACCAGTGGTTCTCCACTTCGGGTGCACATCACAATTGCTCCATAGAGCTTTTGAAACATGCAAATGTCTAGAACTCACCCAACTAGCATCTCCAAGGGAGGAACTCAGGCAGGTATTTATTTTTAAAGATGTGCAGGTGATTCCAGTGCTCAAACTATTGAGCCCCTATTCTAGAGCAGCGGGGACTTGCAAGTACATCTGAATCACTGGCAGAATTGGTTAAAGCACGGATTGCAGGAATCTATCCCCAGAGTTTCTATTTAGTAGGTCTGGGGTGGGGGCCTGAGAATTTGCATTTCTAAGAAGTTCCCAGGTGATATTGATGCTTCTGGTCCTGTAGGATTATTGTCCTACAGGGTTGGTTGTAAGGGACGAAATCAAAACATTTATATGTAGAATTTAAGCAGGAGATTTAGGCCAGAATCCACATTGATCATCAGGCAATGCATGCAGGTTTTAAACACAATCTTCAGAGCACCCAAAGAGTACCCACTGAGTTTGTGGCTCCAGACATTTCTTTGAACAGTGGCATATGAATTTGTTTTATTCCCTAAGAGGAATACATTTCCTCTTAATGTTAACTGACCCTAAGATCAGTTTGACCTGAGACTACTGTGCGGAGCCCATGCCCACTCAGGCGCCAAGCAGGCGTGGTGCTCACTCCCCAGAACCCTGCCACTCTTGTCTCAGAGGGAAAGCCTGTGGTTTCTCCTCACGTGTTCTCCCTTCTTCATTCATCTGCCTTTATCTAGGACCAGGAGGTTTGGGAACAGGAGCTTTGACCCTTCTATTTCTGGACTTTATTCAAAAATGTCTATGTCCCAAAGTTCCTGGGTGATAGGTACCTAATTTTAGATTATTAGGATATTATCAGATAGACTAGTAAACACATTTCCATTATCTGCTATACAACTAAGAAATTAGTAAGAGGTAAGTATTAGATACTGACAAACACTAGGCTTTGGATAAATTATAAGCTTTTGTATCTAGCTGATGAGCCTTGTACCTGATATTTTGCTTTTTTTTTTTTCAGGGTGATTTCCATCCTGTGCCTGTTGCCTTTGTACGATTCATTTTATGTATTTTAAATTGTTTAGAGAAGAGCTGCTCAAGTTTTATAAATGGTGTTTCTCTCCTATTAGGTCTCTCTGCAATGCAATCAATGTTTACAACCTCACCTGCAGTGACTGCTCAGAAAATTGCACCGATGTTCTGTTTAGTAACAAGATTACCTTCTTAATGGACCTCCTGATACACCAGTTGACGGTATGTAATATTAGCGTTCTGAGTTAGAAGCAGGTAAGGTTTGGGAAATAGTCCCTGTGGAGAAAATGAAAAGAATTCAGCTTATTTACCCTCCAGATGAAAAAGTGAAGATGACGGAGAGAGTAAACTGGAGACTAGCAAAGAAACCTCTTAATTTGAAAATCTCATATTGGATTCTCCTCTAAGTTCCAATATTTAATGGATAATATACTTATAACACTTGCCAACTTCACAAATTTACATGGTTAAACTGAGGCTTTAGAATCAGTTGGACTCAAAGCCAAACCTCTGAGCCCACAGGAATGAGGGCTATAGAAAGGAAGAAAGCTTGGGAAAGCCTTGAAACCTCTCTTGCCAACTCAGTTAAAAGGGTCAGTTTAAAAAGGACTTTTTGATGGCCCTTGATATATACTTTTTTGAATCAAGAAACTCCTCTGTCAAAAAAGAGTAAACCTGTTACTCTTTTGACGTGAGAACAAGCAGCCAGTTGTTGTTCACAGATGTTGAAAGAGGTAGTAAGCTCAGTATAATATCCAAAGGTTTAGGTCTGTCAACTGCAGCCTCCAGAATACAGCCCTGGGGCCAGAAGTTTCCTGGTGAAGTTTCTGAGCCCCTGAGGTATTGGCACAAAATCTCTCTCAAGCTGCAAGTTTACAACACAGGAGATTTATTTTTTAGAACAGATTTGCTTTTACTCAGCATATAGTTCTAATTCTTCTTCCTAAACTACATGCCTTTTGCACTATCCCCTCCTCAGTCTGGTTAATTTCTGTACATTCTTCAGACCTTAACTGAAACATAATGGCACCCTCCTCATGAAATCTTCCCCAACCTGACTCTCCCCAAGTACAGGTTAGGAATTTTTTTTATGTGCTCCTAGGCAGTACATCTTTCATAGAACTGATCACATTGAATTGCAATTAACAGTTTTTTCCATTTCCCCATTATCCATAGAATCAACAAGGGTAGGAGGCAACTTATCACCCTCTCCAGGATCCTAACACAGTGCCTGACACTTAGTAGATTTAGTACATCATTGGTGAATATATGAGCGAACAAGTGAATCCCCACATCTCAAGCTAAGAATCAGAAAGGGAATGATGAGGTCCTTACAAGCAGGCATACTGACAATGAGAAGGGACAACAGTGAGAGAGAACAAAGGCACAGACCTAGAACTGTTTACACAGTACAGCAATGGCTATTTATAGTGATGACTAAGGGTCATCATCACTTGAAGGGTAAATTATATTTGGTATTATCTATAAAAGAAGGCATTAAAATATGGGTAAGGCATTTTAGCCCAAAATCCTACTCAAAATAGTTGAAAGGCAGGGACAAGGAGAAAAGACAGCATTTGTTATATGGCCTCATATTCTAGACATTTTAATATATATTGCCACATTTAATTTATCTAAACTTAAAGTTAGTATTATTATCCCATTTTACCAGTATGGAAACTTGAGTTCCAGGGAGTTTGGCTTGCCCAAGACAGCATAGAAAGTCATGGAGCCAAGAGTCAAATGTAGGTCTCTCAAACCCAAATTGAGGGACATTCCACACAGTGACTAACTGCTACTTTTCAAAAGTGTCAATGTCATGAATGACAAGGGAAGAGAGGAGAACTATCACAGATTGGAGGAGGCTAAGAAGATCTGACAAGTAACTGAAATGTGTGATCCTAGACCAGAAAAAGGACATTAGTGGTAAAACTGGGAAATTCAAATAAAGTCTATAGAATGGTTAATTTTATTGACTCAATGTTAATTTCCTGCTTTCAATAATTATAGTATGATTTTGTAAGATGTTAGCAATCAGGGATACAGGGTGAAGAGAACTCACTATTTTTGAAACATATCTGTTAGTTTAAAATTAATTTAAAATAAAAAAAATTTATAAAAGGGGGCACCTGGGTGGCTCAGTCAGTTGAATATCTGACTTGATCTCAGCTCGGGTCTTGATCTCAGGGTCATGAGTTTGGGCCTCTCATTGGGGTCCACGCTGGGTGTGGAGCCTACTTAAAACAAAACAAAACAGAATAAAACAAAAAAACATGCTTCCCCGCTGTTCCATGTTATATCATCTGGAAGAATGTATTCTGTGGAACTTTTTCTATGTTGGTAATGGAAGAAAAGACATTAATATGTACTTTGACCAGAACAAATAACAACAGAGATGGCCTTTGAAATGTGAAGGGATGAATAAGATTTACAGACAGGATCTTCCATCTTAGCTCTTCAGTCCTTTCTGTTCAGTCCTTTCTATTCTTACTGAAAAATATCATATGCAGTAGTTTATTATTCTCACACTAAATAAAGTGCCTACTATTTCCACTTACAGAGAAGCACAGAATATAATCTGCACCATCCAGGAAATCCCAGTTTAGGAGTAAGAACAGATAGATAGATTGCATATAGTAAACAGTGTGATGGCAGCATATACAGACTACAGTGGAGTACAGGAAGGTGTTTTATAGCCTGGGACATCACAAAGCAGGGACATTTGAGCTAGACCTTAGCTCCTCATTTACTAAGTGCCTACCATGTGCCAGGAGCTTGTAAGTAGCTTGATCCTCTCCTTCTTCCTTGAATAATATAGCCTTGCTTATGACTTCATGGTTTCTTGACACTCAGAAAAGCTTTTAATCTCCTGACCGGTGGATCTCACCACGTTCTGTGTTTCGTTTTCTCAGTTCAGGACTGTAGTCCTGGGACATTTATTTGCCAAATACATTTTATTCCTCCTTTCCTTATACGTGGCACTTCTTGGTTTTTACAGATCTTTTAGGCTGCTTTCAATTCTAATACAGCTGTGACTGAGTTTGTGACAGTTGGCAGAGGAGATTGTGTTTCCTAATTTGGGGAGAAAAGGGATGGAGATGGTTAGGGATGGTGATTTTACATTTCTTGAAATCACTTGAATACGTTTCCATTTTTCTTGATAACTGGTTTTGATAACCATGTAACTGAAATATGGACCACTAACTTGCAGTACCTATTAAGTAATGGAGAGAAAATAGTCATCAACACATTTTACAGAAGGATGAGAAAGAAGCTAATTAAGTCTGGTGAGATATATAAGACACCTAATAATGAGGCACTTCAACCTTCTTGAGGAAACTGAGATAGTTTAGAAGAAAAAAAAATTTTTTTTGGTCTAGCTGCTTGAAATTTGTTTTAGCACTCTTATATTTTATTTGAACTCTGTGCAAAGCACTGTACAGATGCCAGGGTTACAGAGAACATTGGACACAGTTCTTTCACTCCAGAAGCCTACAGTTAAGGAAGAACTTGCACACACAAATACTAAAGAAAAGCTGTGAGAAGTTTGTGATGTAATGAGAGCTACAGAGTATCCTAAGCAATCTAGAAGAGTACCTGACACATAAGTGGTGCTCCTCAAATATCTGATGAGTGAATGAGTGAATTCTAACTTGGAACATTAAAGAGGTTTAGGGAAGAAATTGGACTTCACTCTGCCTTGAGGAAGGGTGGAAATTCCTTTCTAGGTTAGGATTTTTACAGAAGATAAATTAGCACAAGTGGCACAGTAAAGTATACCTTGCAACAGAGATTCTAAGTAGGATTTTTGGGATAAGCTCTTCAGAAGTTTATTTGAAGCCCTGTGAAAACAATACATTTAGATAGACATCATTTAGGTTGAAAGCTAGCATAAATGTATTATATTCCAAGAAGCATGAAAGTTTTAAAATATGTTAAAGCAGATTACTGTTATTCCAGAAGCATGGTTCAACATCTCTGTGCCTAAATTTTCCCAGTGCACAGAACAGTGGGTCTCTAGCTTCAAAATGTCTCCTTGAAGAGACCAAATATGCACACTGGAAGGCAATGAAAAGACCAGTGAAAAGAGAAAGAGGGCAGAACAGGAAGTCCTAGCCCTCCTTCCCCCACAGAGACACCAACATAATAGTATATGGACCAAAATACCATTGTGAGAATTCCAGAAGACAGTTAAGTTGTTGAAATACCCCCAGGCAGTCTCAAAGCCAAGAACAACCACATTGAAATGAATAAGAAGAATGGTTTTACTTTACTTGTGTTTACCCCCTCCCTAAGCCAGCAAAGCTCAGCACTGGCAGACAATACCCCAGTTTATGAGTTCTCTTCTAGGAGGGAGAGGGGAGTAGAGTGTAAGTCTGGCATTTTGGCTTTTTGGAGAGCTTCCCAAGGGTCTTGAACCTGTTTCACCTGACTCAGGGCACTGACAAGGAGCGGGCATATTTTGGATGCCTGGAAGCGCCTGAGAACATGAGAGAGCAGGGCAGCTTGCTGTTGTAGAACCAGAGAACTTAATGTTGCAGACAGACACCAGAGGGAGCAAGAGATTATGATGTCCTGAAAAGAAACCAGCAAAACTCTCTACTTGAGAAATTATACACGTAGACCCAGAGAAGCCACATCACCCATCAAAAGGTTTCAGAAACCCCTAGATTCTCTAACCAAGGTGACTGGTGGCTTCCTCTCTACAAAGCCAAGATGTAAAGTCTAAAAGAGATGCCTTTTTTTTCCAAATGTACAGATTCCAACACAAAGGTATAAGATACACAAAGAAACAGTGAAATATGGCCTATACAAAAGAACAAGATAAATCTACAGAAACCAGTCTTAAAGAAACAGGTATATGAATTAACTGACAAAGAATTCAAAATAATTATCATAAAGATGTTCAATGAGCTCAAGAAAATGATGCATGAACAAAATGAAAATAACAAAGAGATAGAAAATATTTTTTAAAAAAGCAAGTTTTAGAGCTGAAGAAAACAATAATTGAACTGAAAAATCAGGTAGAGGAGTTCACAAGCAGACTTGATAAAATAGAAGAAAGAATGAGTGAACTTAAAGACAAGTCATCTGAAATTATGCAGTCACAGGGATAAAAAGGAAAAATAATGAAAAATAGTGAAGAATGCCTAGGGGACATATGCAGTACCATCAGACAGACCAATATACACATTATGGTACTCCCAAAAGGAGGAGAGAGA